GAGATGGGCAGATCACGAGGTCAGGAGATCGAGACCATCCTGGCTAACACAGTGAAACCCCATCTCTACTAAAAATACAAAAAATTAGCCAGGGAGGTGGCGGGCACCTATAGTCCCAGCTACTCAGGAGGCTGAGGCAGGAGAATGGCGTGAACCTGGGAGGCGGAGCTTGCAGTGAGCCGAGATAGCGCCACTGCACTCCAGCCTGGGCGACAGAGCAAGACTCCGCCTCAAAAAAAAAAAGAAAAATCATCTAATACAGGGAAGATACAACGGAGGTATCTGCAGTAACAGAAAAATTCAGAAGGCTAAAATAATAATCATTGTACATAAAGGAACTGGATGGCGGGGGGCAGTGGCTCACGCATGAAATCCCAGCACTTTGGGAGGCCCAGGCAGGTTGATCACTTGAGGTCAGGAGTTCAAGAACAGCCTAGCCAACATGGTGAAACCCCGTCTATACTAATAATACAAAAATTAGGCGGGCATGATAGCACACACCTGTAATCCCAGCTACTTGGGAGGCTGAGGCAGGAGAATCACTTGAACCTCGGAGGCAGAGGTTGCAGTGAGCCACGATCGCCCCCTGCACTCTAGCCTGGGCGACACAGTGAGACTCCTTCTCAAAAAGAAAAATAATAATAATAATAAAATAAAATAAAGAAATTGGGTTTTAGGTGTTTGTACTGTTCAAAAAAGGATGCCATTTACTACAGGCTATTAGTTTAATACATAGACAGCAAATACAACTAATAGGAGAATAATGAATAATTCCTAAACCAAATTTTTGAAAAACGGGAAACGTATAATTCTTTTAATCTAGAATGAATGAATGGTCAACAAGGCATTGTTCTTTTTAAGCCAATCCCACTTGTGAATTACATGCAAAAATGATAAATAAAATATTAGCAAACGTAGCCCAGTGCAGAGGCTCACGCCTGTAATCCCAACACTTTGGGAAGCCGAGTTAGGCGAATCACTTGAGGTCAGGAATTAGAAACATGCCTGGCCAAAATGGTGATACCCCATCTCTACTAAAAATACAAAAATTAGCCAGGTGTGGTAGCACACACCTGTACCTGTAATCCCAGCTATTTTGGAGGCTGAGGCACAAGAATCGCTTAAACCCAAGAGGCAGAGGTTGCAG